AGGATTATGATTAACATTCACCAGGATACAGGGTTACATAAATTCACCAGGAATTCCTGGTGAAATAACCAGAGTATGTTAGGTGGTATCTGGACATGGAATCCTGGTGAAATTTCACCACGTTCTGGTGAAATTTCACCAGGATTTTTTTAGAGTGTAATAATCATACTGATAAAAGAAATAGCATCGCATCATTTTTTACTATCATCAGCATAGACTTATTATAGAAAGGCTGCACCTCCAGCTACAGTATAAAAACGAATACCCAGTTTCATGACCGAGAGTTTTATTTACAGGTTGCAAAGGAAACAGTTCCACTTTTGACGTTAGGAATACGTGGAGTTGGAAGGCAAGCGCTACTTCGGGCTCGATGTCGACAAGTAAATGTACCCCATTCGGGTAAGTATTTCAATCAAATAGCAATAATCAGATTAATAACAATTAAAGTAATAATATAAATGATAATTATAGTGATAGTGGTAAAGATAACTATGTTAATGATAGTGATATGTAGTCCTAATATAATGTCATTGAAAAATTCCATGTTACGAACTTAAAACCGAAAAACATATACTCTTATTACTGTGGTTTGTTTTTATTATTAAGCATTAGTTTTCCTTTATGCATAGACAGTGGTAAATACAGTATTAATGAATCCTTTTGACACTCAATATGAATAGGTTATCATTGTGAAAATCTTTCCACTACATCAAATAGCTCATTAATCGGTGCTAAATAGCAGAGGATAGCTAGGCCTAGGTAGTGGAAACGGACACCTGATTGCAGTAATGATTGTTCTATTTGCAGTCAGTGGCCAATAATTTCAACCCAAAACCAATTATTAGCCTCCCCAAGAGCGTAGGGGGTGTGGCATTGTTTTGGCCCGGTATACATGGCGGTGGCTAATGCTAATGAATATTTTGCACAATTAATATTCAAAACGTACAATCTATATTATTTATCGGAATCCGCATTTATATTTTTGCGTAGGCCTACCATGGAAAGTACATATCCGCAAGGTTCTGGTGAAATTTTTGTATGATAAAACAAAAGATATGGGATACTTTAATCTTTCGTTACAGTAAACCAAGAACGAAGGTTACTGTTTAGTCCGTATCCGACCAGCAAAAATACTAAGAAAAAAGAGAAGACTTTAACATTATCGTTTATCTGTCTGTGGTCAACAGAATCGGTAAGTTGGATAATGATTACATCATTTTTCGATTACAGAATTTACGGTAAAAATTAATGTGGTGTTTTACTCTGTACTTTATACAGTAGGCTTAAACTAAATCGTTTTGCCTATCAAATTACAGAAACAAATATGTTTTTAATGGGAATGTGGTTTTTGAGCATTCTAATCGCCGTCTTTGTCACTGTTATCATCATGCTTTATCGATCATTTTGAACCACTTGTTTATAGGCCTATTATTGGTTTGGTTTGGGTTTTTTTCTAATGAAACTAAATAGTTTGAATTTCCAGCTTGGATGAAAATGGGAGAAAACTGGAAGTGCTTCCCATTCCTGTAGATGGTTACTCCGTGCGTGGTCTTAAGGAATTCAATCGGCATGGTAAATTTTACTTGAGACCGATTCAGACAGATCTTGACATATCTGATGCTAAGGTACGGTAATTGATTTGTCTGCCAGTACACCGATAACTTCAATGTTGTTAGTAGGCCTATTATACTACTATTATTTTTATTATTATTAGGCCTATTAATTGTTTACAGCAGTGACAGTGACAGTGCCAACAAGGCAGCAATGCAAGACTTAGTGAGGGGATACCAGAAGTGTAAATCCGAAGAGATTATTGACGTTGTAATTAGGCGAAAGAAAATATGGAATTGCACGATTTCGACCATAAGGACCCAGAAGGATTTCAACTTCTTAAAAGTCCCACATGTCCACTTTTCGGGAGAGGAGGCGGTTGATCTCGGTGGGCCAAAGAGGGAATACTTTTGGTATGTGAATGCCAATTTGTTTTGAGATTCGCAGACATATCGTATAGAGTATAACTTTATAAAAACAAAAACAAAAAAAAAATTAATGTATAATCTCGATAGACCTTTCCTATCAAATTTCTTTTTTTTTTTCCATAAGGCTGATCACACAAAAACTCCATCAAGTTGGAGTGTTTGAAGGTCATGGAGATCGCTTACTTTTCACGCATGACATAGACCTTTTACAAAAGGAATTTTATCGCCATGCAGGGCAAGTGATAGCATGGAGTGTTCTGCATGGCGGGCCAGGTTACCCACACATACACCCCGGGTTGCTAAAAATGATGTGTGGGCTAAACCCCGGTCATATCGAACACAGTGACATCGTAGATGAAAGTGTGTCACCTAAACTTGCCATGGTAAGGAAAACAAGTTTGTGACATACTTAAAAATGTATCAAAAAAGAAACAGAGAGACATAAAACATATGGTAGGCCTAGTTTGTGTGAAACTCTCCAACGAAGAGTTTCTTAATGAAGTATTAAACTCCTCAATAACTAGTGTAATTATCGTGTATGATTTCTTTTTACAAAATTAGATTGCAAATATCCAAACGGACCTTGATGCCAGGGATGCCATTTCAGCAGTGGGCGACTGGGCGGCCAGCAATGGTTGTAATAGGATATAGTCCCTTAACACCGACAACAAGGATAACATGCTGCAAGCTCTAATTAAGCAGCATATGTTCTATAGGTAAGCAACAGTGGTTGAAAAATGCATATGATTGCAAGCAACAGTGGTTGAAAAATGCATATGATTGCAATAATCTAAGTGTATGCTAAAGCAAGCATTCAACAGTGGTGGCGCTAGGATTTGCCGACTGGGGGCCGAGGTCCCCGACGTGTAGGCCGATGTCCCCGACGAGAATAAAGTGGGCGTGGTCGGACATCGTTCAAAGACGTTAGAATACGTTCTTAAAAAAATTTAGGGGTTTCAGGCTTTTAAAATCGATTTTAGGGTCTAATAATATGTAGGAAATAAAAAAAATGATTTTTTTCTCCCCGACGAATTGCGGTTTTTGGGGGGGGGGGGTGGCAGGTCTCCCCAACGGGGGTCTGGACTGTTAATCATTAAAAATCACAATATTTAAACATATCTGTAAAGTGGTACGTACAGTAAATGATTTATTATACATTATTTCTTAAGGTGCAAAGCAGAAATTGACCAGTTTAAAGAAGGAATGGATTTCGTTGGTGGGTTTTGGAGCCTTGTCAGTCAAAATCCACCTCTGCATCACATATTTCTTTCGAGAAATAATGCATTAAACTTTACGACATTTAAGCAGTTGTTCCGTGTGAACTGGTCAGAACACGAACCACTCAAGGACGCAGAAGAAGACACAATTTACTGCTGGGAACAGTTTTTGCGCATGTGCTGTGGTATGTAAACACGCAAACTGAACTATTTCCTATATTATTTTCATACAGAGATGTTAAAATAATATAACATAGGCCTAATTATATTTTCCCTGTAGTTATCTAAAATAGGATAAGTTATTCAAAACGACTGATCAAATACAAATTAAGTATTAAAACTTACAAACTGAACCATTAGGC